GACAGAGAGTAATAGAATTGACTCATTCTGGGATGGGGGTTATTATTATAAAGTTACACATGCCCACTGTCCCAGCTCATTCATCCAGTGCCAGATCTGTGAAAGACATCGGCGATCATGGTTCTCCATTCATTCCTTTGCTCAGATGCTCTTTAAAAAAGTTACATTTCCCTGATCTTTCCCCATTACCCATTGGTTTAGGTTCCCTAAGTAGGTTGTTCTGGGCCTACCTCTGCCTTGTTTGCCTTCAGTTTTGCCACTGAGAGCTAGATGTTCAAGACATTTATGTCTATGTAGGTGTCCCAAAAACTGCATTTAATGTTTCCTGATTGTTTTTAACATTGAGCGTCCAACGTGGGCTTCATCAAGCACTACCTTATTTGATTTCTTTACTTTCCACGATACTCTTTGCAGTCTCCTAAGAAACCACATTTCTGTTGCTCTATTTTATTTTCACAGTCTTTAGGGATTGTCCAGCATTCACACCCATATAGAGGGGTTGACCATACATAGCGTTTCAGGACTGTCATTATGGTAGTCATTGAGATGTTTCTATTTTTCAGGATTACGCTCATTTTACTGAAATTAGCATTAGCCATTGTAATTCTCCGTTTTATTTATGTGCAGCATTTGGCATCAGGTGTTATTATATAACCTAAATATTAAACTGTTTGACTTGTTTGATCTTTTCGTCTTTGCTAATGAGATTACAAATAGGATTTTCATTTTTGAAATTTTTTTGGGGATATTACCATGCATTCTGTTGGTTCATTTTTTACCTTCAACACTAACCCTTTACGTTCACTTTCTGTTACAACAGTATCTAGAAGCGATTGATGAAGGTCGTTTTCTGAGCCTGCTATCAAAACTGTCCGATGTACAGGAGTTGAAATCCCTCCAGTGACGAGATGTGGGATACGAACCCATACCCTTTGGGATCCTTGTGAGACATCTCCTGTGCTGTATCTTTCCCTTCTCCTTACTTCGAGTGTTTCATATTATTGTTTGGTAAGCAGAGTAGGAGGGAGAGTCTTGTTTTAATTTTAGACGAAATAACATAAGGATATAAAATGTTTAAATTTGTTTAATAGCTCAACGTTTCGCCTCGTGGGCTTCCTCAGGAGCAACTGAGAGTATTTCATATTATATGACCTAATGTACCGGGTGTCTTAACAAAGAGGACTCATTCAAAGGCCAACAACTTGATCTTTGAACCAATAAACTTCGGGCGAATCAAATTTAGCCTTCAGGACGTTTCATTTGTCAATATGAAAGAAATCAAGAGAAATGTTCGAAACATAATTATCAAACCTTAAAACTTTCAACCAATTTTTTGAGTGAAACGCAAACTTTGCAACTTCTTAAAAAACAACCATAATATTGTTCCATTCCTGTTCTTCAAAGCTTGAAGTACTGATCTTCCGTAACAAACAAAACAAATCAAGAGGTAAGAGACACAGGTTAAGGAAAATGTGGCGACCATTCACTTGTCAACATTCGGCTCACGGGGCATTTTCTAAACATTTCTTACAACCACACAAGGACCTCTCCTGACGTGCGGGGTGTGCCCCCCCCCCCCCCCCCCCCCCCCGGGGACCCAGGCCTCAACAACATAACACCTTCTCCTCCACAAACTCCTCCAAAACTTTCTCAGCATGGTGAGATATCCATCTGATGTGACTGTTGTGGTTGTACCGGCCTTGTCCTGAAACCAGAACAGGCCAATCACGCTCCTGTAGCTAAATTTGGTTAATAAGTAAAATTTGCATTTCACCCAATTTTGGTGGAAATTTTTAAGCTTTGATATTTCTCGAATACCTTGATGGATTTTCTTCCCATTTCCGAACCAGACGTTTGGTAGGCTATTTCGCCCTCACAGCTGCATGACGTCATAGAGCGCCAAGGGGTGGATGTCAACACAGAAGTCCTTACAGGGAATCAGGCTTACTCTGCTCACCTCTCTAGCCTCAACAGTACAAAGCCTGCTTCGACTATCAAGGTACCCCGGAAATAGAAGTTCCCAAGAGAGTGACAAACATACAAAAGAAGTAGAGGGAAAATGATGATAGTGAAGAAGAGGAAAGAAAAAGCAGCAGTTCCCCCTATGTTGTTTCTCGCCACCATTCTCCCAGATGTCTCTGACTTGGGGAGCGGGCTGCTATGACACTGCCTGTGAGGGCGAGCCCGGGCTGAGAGGGATACAACATCACAGCACACTGGTGGACAGACTCAATGGCAAGACACACTGACAAACACACGGACAGACAGACAGACACACGGACAGACAGACACACAGACAGACAGACAGGTAGACACACAGACAGACACACGGACAGACACACGGACAGACACACGGACAGACAGACTCACAGACACACAGACACAAAGAAAGACGGACAGACACACAGACAGACAGACAGACAGACACCCAGACACACAGGCAGACACACAGACAGATAGACAGACAGACAGATAGACAGACGGACAGACGGACAGACAGACACACACACACACAGGCAGACGGACAGACGGACAGACGGGCAGACGGACAGACGGACAGACGGACAGACGGACAGACAGACAGACACACACACACACAAAGAGACACACAGACAACATGCCACACTACACAGACATGAACTAACCAGTTTCCATGATCGTCGGGAGAGGCGGGTGAGTTCTGAAACCCTGAGGTCACTAACTCACAACAACAATAACAATGCTATGTCCACGGAACACACACAGTCTCATCATAGCTCGCGCAGAAATCACAGGACAGTCTCATCTTATTCGCACAAAAGTCACAGGACACAGTCTCATCACAGCTCTCATAGTCCCAATGACAACAACAACAATGACAATCTTTATTCATCTCGCAGGGAGAAATTTGTTATCAAGCCCACTGGATGGTCAAGTCCCTCGCATCGTCTTTAGAAGCCACACAGGTCAGAATTCCCACCTTTTATGAATCGGCGTTGAATTCATTATTTTAAAAAACGCAACCATAAAAATCTTGCCTGCAGGTTCCCCTATTCCTTTAGACCCACCAGTTGAGATTAAATCGATTTCTTTTTGTGTATACAGTGTAAATGTGTACATCCGTTGTCTGGAATTGATTGTAGTTGAAGGCTGCTTCTAAAATGTTACTAGTGTTCTTATCTAAGTTATCCATTTGATCTTGAATAGAACTCAAGATATTTGTGATTGAAGGAAGGTAGGTCGCCTGATTTCTGTGGTGAGGTAAGCGAGAAAATAGCCGCCAAAGTTAGGTAACTCTAATAGCTAAAGAGTCCTTGAAAACAGAAAAATGGCATGCATGTATTTTGTACTTTTAATCAATTTTTTTCAATAAAATTCACATGGAAAATTCACATGGAAAATTCACATGGAAATGTGTCTTTATAATATGGGCCTAAAAGAGGTTAATCCCCCCC